CCCTACGCACTTCTTGCGATCCCATAGCAACATAAAACAAGGCAGCAAGGGCAGAGATATCCAGAGTCCACGGAGTCTCGGGTAGGATACTGATCTTCCACGATCTCGATTGCTCAGTTGCCGGATTTTGGTTCAGGGATTCGTTTAAGCTCGAGCTGGCAGACACTCAACAAGGTGCTTAGTCGAATCCTTTGCACCCATTCGGAATTCAAGACACTCTTCCGGCTACAGTACAATGATAATGCAGGGTCTGAAAATTACTGAGGGTATCCCCCCATAATCCGTTATAGTTTCAGTATAGAGCCCCCACAAAGCCCTATTCCAATTATTTCAGCTATCCAGCTGAAAAAGCTCTAAACCCTAAACCCTAAACCCCCGGTAAAGCCTGGGCAACCACAAGGCAGCTCCTCCGCACTAATCCGGCGCAGGAGACGAAACCGAAAACTCCCCGACAACCTGAAACACACTTTTCGGTAATCTGTGTTGGCCTTTAAACGCCCTGAAAATATTTATCTATAGGGTCCCTTATAAACCCAAATAAGGAAAATAAAAAATGTCCCAAAATCCAACCTAGTAATGGTCGGCAAATCCTGCAACACCACAGGAACCACCATACCCGAAACAATCTCTTTTCCTTGGCTCTTCGTTGGTCGAAAACTGGACAGGGGATGCGGTCGCTTTGCGTTCTCCGTGCTCCCGGGGCTTCGACGCCCGGTCCTCCCAAAACTTGGGTGTGATATGATTTGGTTAGTGCCGAGATTTATAGGCATAGTATAGTCATAAAGCTTATAGGGCTGATATGGTTTGGGGCTTATGGCTTACAGGGTTTTTTTGTTGAAGGGGGGGGTGATGGGGCTTATAGGTTTAACAGGGCTTATAAGGTAAGTATGAAGTACAGAGTGTGCTGGCCTTCCCGTGCAAAGGGCTTATAAGGTTTTTTGGGGCTTCATGTGAGTCGCCCTCTTGTAGGATTTTGGGTTCAGGGTTGGGGTTGGATGCCTTAGCCCTATCACTCCCCCTAAGGCTCCATGTACCCACATAGCATATACTTAGGCCTTAAAGTACCCATCTACTATGAGGGTACATTCAGCCTTTGGGTCCATCACTTCCCTAAGACTCCGAAGCCCCAAACCCTAAGCCCGAAGTCATAAACTAAGCGCTATGCAAAGTCAAGATGAACTACAACTTTTTCTGGGTGGGTCATGGGGCTTCTCTGGGAAATGATGCAGTCCATAGGCAGTTTAAACGGACTTTATGTTATGGGAGCTGCAGTGTCTTTCAGAGTTGGATAAGGTCTCTCGAAGGTCGGGGAAAGGAAGGTATCGAAGGACAGAGTCTATGATTTCTGCGCAGCTCGAGTCGTTCGCAGCTCAGTTCGCCTTGGTCTTCTTCACCTGCTGGATGACCTTCCCCGTCCCAGGATCGGTGGTTTCTCTGAGGTTTCGAAGAGCTTAGAAAAAGAAAGGACGGGAAGTAGCCGCACATCTCTGCTTAACTCCCCAGACCTTCCAAAATCCCTTCATTAAGGAATATACCTTAAATCATAATAGGGTCCCTAATATGAATTAAGGTATATTCCTTAATTAAGGGATTTTGGAAGGTCTGGGTCTAAACCCTGAAACCCCTCAACGCTCGAGTCATCTCTAGACTATAAAACTTCCATCTAGGAGTTTCCGAAAATAGGGGACCCTAATATAGTACCTTAAATAGTAAGATGCTTACCCTAATAGAGTAATATAGTACCTCAAATAGTAAGATGCTTATTATACGAACACCAAAATAAGGTACCCTAATTTTCGGAAACCACCAAATTTCGGATAATGAGTTTCTTTGCTAAACATGCAGCCTGCTTCCCAGGTTCTACCGGAGCCATGACTGATGTAGGACCCTGATTAAGAAGCCTAGGGTTCTTATTAGGGCTCTCAATATGGGGGGTTTCCGAAAATAGGGGACCTTTATATAGTACTTTAAATAGTGGGATCCTTATTGTAATGACCCCAAATTAGGGTACCCCCTGTCTTCGGAAACTCCCATATGGATCCTACTATTTTGGGGTTATGGGGCCAGGGTTTCTTAATCAGGTTTTATACATGATTCTCGGAGCCCCTTCAGAGGTATGGTCTGTCTTCGTGCTCAGGAATACATGACAATAACTATGTTCAACAAGGGGGCCTCGGGTGCTTCAACGTTTATCCGTAGAGCGCGAACATGCTAGACTCGAGACACTGTACTTGCAGCCTGAGCCGCGAAGCCCCGACATGACAGCGTCAGAACCCACCTTGCTTTCACCAGCACCCAGAAGGTCATTGAATAAATACGAGAAAGATGTGCAGGCTTCGGTACATCCGACCTTGTATTTCGGGGCTCCGCCGACCGACACGCAAGGAAGTTGATGGTTTCGGCGCTTACACTCGGACATGCCAGCCGAGGTTCCTGGCTTTTTTCCTCTCACATGGCTAGAGGTTCGTTTAGGGCTCTACCCATATAGGCTCCATAGTCACTTTTTGGGATTGCCTTATAGGATTCTCAATATGAGCCCCAAAAAGGAACTACTATGTTACTATGGAGCCTATGGGTAGGTTCCCACCCTGAAACTTGAATTTCCGGAGTTTGTTTGCTTTGTCGCCTTTTTGGAGTCCCTTGCGGCCTCCTGCGATGCTCCGAAGAACTTCAGGAGGTGAGGGGCGGTGAGGGCCATCTGGGCCATGATGCTGTACCTGGAGCTCAGGGGCTTACTGCGCAAGGATTTTGAGGATACGTGAGCTGTTGAGCTTCTATCAGTCAATACTCGAATCGGCGGCTTCGTCCCTGTATCTATATATGATTATCTGTTTCAGGAGGCAGGCAGCCACTGCCTGCAGAATCTTTTTAAGTTTCAAGGCTTTGATGCCCTGCTGCCGGCCCAGGAACCATCGTGGCTCGGACAAGCTGAAAAAACAAGGGGCCTTGACGAGTAAATTGTTGAGCAAATGCTGATGACTGATTTTCTGCAGTCTCCTGCCGCCAAAGATGCTTGACAACTCGGCCGATGAGGATAGCCATGAGCAGAACGAAATCGCTCATCTTTGACCTTAGCCGAGACAGCGATATATCGGCCCTCTGCCGGGAGTGTTATTGCTTAAGCCACTGGAGGCGCCGGAATCGATTTCCTCTGGGTTTAGGATTTGGGGCTTAAGATCTTGCTGGGGCATGTCTGTGGAAGCCTCTGGGCCGCAGATAACCAAGGAAGACTACATAAACAAAATAAGGTAACGCTTCTTCCCCGATGTCCAGGAACTCTTGGCCTGGGTAGCCGATACCTCCAAGCCACCTACAATGAATATGCGCGCTTTGTCTCGGGATACGGCAATCCTTACTCATCCTTACGGGGTCTAGAGGCAGGACGGGACGCCATGCAAACTTGTAAGTATAATCTCGTGTGTAAAGTAAGAGAAGTTTGAGTCACGTGCAGGGAACAACACGAAAAGGCGAGGGAATGGGAATGGCGCAGCATTTGAGGCTACTCAACATGCTGCAGGTCAGTCTGCGCATGGTGAAATCCTCATTACACCCCCAAAGGGTCCTATGTACTGTTATGGGGAAGTAGCCATAATAGTACTTCCCAATATGGAAACCCTACATTCTACTAGATCGGTACATAGGACCCTTTGGGACCTTAAATCGCAAACCCTGACTGGGAGATCCTCGAAACCATCCAAAAGAGAAGATTGGCGAAGAAGATCAGGGGATGTAGTAAAATCCTGGACCTTGTAGGTCGCAAACACTGAGAGATCCTTCAAGCCATCCGAGCAACAACTTGGCGAAGAAGATCAGGGGATGGAGAATGATCCTGGGCTTTTAAATAACCAGGGAGAAAAAGGTATAAAGTCTTATTTCATCAAGGTTCCTTTAAGAAGGAAAACTTACTTGCTGAGTTCATAAGCCCCCAAAAGTGTACACTTTTAGTTTTACAGTGGGTAATATTATCCCAAAAAGTGTAAAGTGTATCCAATCAGCTACTAAGGCTACTAAGCAAATTATTAAAGTATGGTACTCAAACCCTAAACCCTAGACTCTAAACCCTTAAACCCTAAACCCTCCAAGGCCCAGGATCGGCATGGCTGAGATCGGAATGGCCGCGATAGGTCCATAGGCCTGGCATGGTAACTTCGGGCGTTTAGGGCTTAGGGTTTCGGGGTTTAGGGTTGAGGGGTTTAAGGTTTAGGCGTTGAGGGTTTAGGGGTTTAGGTGTTTAGAGTTTAGGGGTTTGGGGTTTACCTGATCCATGACAAACCTACCTGTTTAGGGCTCCATATTATGATTGCCTTATATAAATCCTTAAAAGGGTAGGTTATTCCGGGTTCAGGTAGGGTTTAGGGTTCCGGAGCAGAGACTAAAACCATGTAAGGTTGTTGGGCCACGGTAATGCGTTTGGGGCTGAGCTCTTTTGCCGATAGTTCAATTGCAGCGCTTCGTCGGGCAACCTTGTTTGGATTCAACGTCGTTGTTTTGTAGCGCAAGAAACGGTGATACGTCTTCCCTTAAGCAATGCACTTGCCATCTCGATGACCACGGACATCAAACATCATCAAACGGAACGTTGGCTTGAGGGGCCGCGTGCTGCTGTAGCAAAGCAAGAAGCTCAGGAACATGTCATGTCAGGCGGTCATAAGCTACATTGCTACACACTTCGACGGTTTCTCCACACAAGCTCTCTCACCCTTGCAGACAACTTTGACTGCTGCTACTCAGCGGCCCGGCGCGCATCCCTGATCCGCTCAGCGAATGGCCCAAACCTCCGACGCTTCTTCTGCCTCAGCAGTTGCACAAGCTCTGACGTCTCCGGCAATCCACCCCTGCGGGCAAATCCCAATGCACGGATGATCTCCTGCAAGTCTTTCGCAGCCCCTGACTGCACCAGAGATAAAGCAATATCCTCATGGCCTGTAAGGCACGCATGGCAGAGAGAAGACTGGTGGACAAGCTCACCGTTACAGGGGATGCTTCCTCGTATATGCATGTCAGCACCAGGTGATAGCAAGCTGCGCACGCACCGAATGGCCAAAGAATGCTGCACAGTTGAGCGGCGTGATCCATGGTATCCCACCATTATGGGCTCGCGCTTCGGTGTCAGCCCCAGCTTCTAGCATCAAATCCAGACACTCAGCATACCCGTAATGGGCGGCATGCAGAAGCGGTGTTCGATCGAAGGGGGGGAAACGAGGATCATCCACGTTTGGATCCATCGGACACTGCAAGAGGTCCTCCAGCTCGGCAGGGCTGTTCTTTACAACAGAAAAGAAGATGTGTTTTATGAGGGTATCGGACCTTGGCACGAACTCAAGAAGCAGCAACTCCACTTGGCTCACCTGCATGATGCCGCAATCATCTGCCATCCTGCAGCCATTCCCGAGGATGGCCTGCCGAAATCGTGGCGGGGCTCCATGACGTTCATGCAACACTTTCTTCAGCGTCCTGACGTCAGGCAACTCCTCCGACGGCAGCACGGCCAACTCTTCCCCGGACAGACACCAACACACGCGGAGCATGGCGCTCTAGAATCTAGATGCATCCCCAATAACCTGGCGGACTTTTCGGCCTGTAAAAACATCAAAATCTCCATCTTGCAAAATGAAGCGGATACAGTGGCACCCAGCATTGGCGTAGCAGCGTAGCACTTACGAGAACACCGAAACCTTGATCCTTGGTGTACCCAAGACAGTACTTGTTGTCAGGACGACTGCATGGGGCATACCAATCGTTTGGAACCACCAACCAATGTAGTTCCTTGCATAATTAGAACAGGGAGGTATGTTTTCGATAACTAAAATAAAGAACTCTAAAGTTCTTACAAACTATGTCTGTACTTTCTTCACGTATCTATGTTGCATACTCGACCTTGCAAAGATGCGACTCCTGCTTGCGAGTGGCTGCAGAAGCATCGATCTGGGCAACTGTCGGAAATCAAAAGGCAGTCGTAGCAAACGGAGAGCCCACGATCCATAGTACTAGGACGCCAAGCTACACCAAATTTGAGCAAGCCTCTTAAACGAAAGACACCTGTGAACTCAGAGGAGACTATACTACCCAAAAGAGGGTAAAGGTTGCCTACTCTACTACTCGGAACCCTAACCTAAACCCTAAACCCTAAACCCTAAACCCCAATCCTTGCGTTTTGTGGTCCGAGGCTTCACTACCGTGGCACCCTGAAGCCTCGAAGCCTGGCAAGGGTCATTGCGCCTTTTTCGATGCTATGCCTCAGGTTTAGGGTTTAGGGGTTTAGGGGTTTAGGAGTTTAGGGGTTAGGGGTTTAGGGGTTTAGGGGTTTAGGGGTTTAGGGGTTTAGGGTTTAGGGATAAGGATTTAGAGTTCTGACTCAATCTTGCAATCTCTACCAGGGTTTAGGATTTAGGCTGGAAGGTATACGGCTGGACCGATTGCCGAACACGGAGCAAGCAAGCCACGCAGATTCTTGCACCCCATTAAACTACCTGCCACACCATGAACCCCAGACATCCGAAGTGCCCCAGCTCGAAAAAGCACTGAACCATACGACCGGCTGTCAAAATTAGGGTTCCTTTTTGGGTCTTAATATAATACGGCACCTATTATTTAGGGCACCCAGAAAGAACCCTCGTTTTGACAACCACCCACTACAAAAAGCCCAAGCCCCAACACCGCGCAATCCCCAAGCCGAAAGCCACAGCCCTTGACTTAACAAATGCGAAACCACACCCGAAGTCCTAAGTATTCATACAGTATGTGCTTTCGCCTTAAAGCTGCCAACATAAGCATACATTATTTGGGTATGTAGATCCAAAAACCTACCTGGAAACCCGAAACTCTGAACCCTGACTGCATCCCAGACCCTGAATTTGGGCTTCCTGGCTCCGGTCGCACCTGCATCATGCCCTCAGACCAAGCCCACCATTTGCCTTGGTCTTGCAAAGTTGTAAACCGGAGCTTTCTCAGGCCAAATGGCTCAGGCCAGGACACCCCACCTGTATGGGCATTGTGGGTATATAGACTAGTTCGATAAGAGGGCAAATCCTGGGGTACGGCAAGCGTTGTGGATTTAGATTCTGAAACTTTGAAAAGATCTGATATTCAAGTGGTGATTCTAAAAGGGTAAGGTTGTAAGTTGCAGAGGATAAGGGGTCAGGAGCGATACAGTGTGGCCTTTCGAGCTCGGGTCTCCTGGGCGAGTTTCCGAATGTCTACTTAACTCAGAACATCCCGCACACCAATTTCTAGGACCACGGGATCAAAAATGATTATGTTGAGCCTAGAAACCCTAACAACATGCATCAGCCCGTTCAACTCGGGTGTCTTAGTCTTGGTATGTACGGATTTTAAGGAGCCAGTCTCTGCTTCAGGAGTATTGGGGCTTTTTGGGAAACTGGTAGATCAACGCCAAGCTCTACAATGAGTTGCCACTTCCGATTGTTGACGGCTTGCACTGGGTTCAGGGCTGTAGGGCCAGGGCTTAACCATCGTAGCTTGAGCTTTAAACCGCTAATCCTGAACGGAAAGGACAGTCGCAGATGGTCTGGTCCTCGGCCCGTGTGTAACACAAAGCCTTCCTTTGTCAAGTCCTTCGTCGATGTCACCCATCATGTAATTCAAGGCCTTCCACTTTTCATCACTTAGGCATATATTCTCCCACTTCACGTCAGTTCACGTCCCAAAACCATCGAAGCACTAGTTACACGATCTTGATCCCTGCACCGAGAAACCACCATATTATGAGGGTTCCCGAAGACAGGGGACTAATACAGTACCCTAAAAAGGTAGGCTCCTGTTTATACGGACCCCCAAATAAGGTACCCCTACTTTGCGGAAACGCCCATATGAGGACCAAATCGCTCTGTCGGACCTTTTCCGTTGCGCTCTGTGCACGCACTGTGTGGGTAAGCTTCGATGCTAAGCGAAGAAGCCTAGAACCACTCCGCCAAATGTCTACTGCACATTCAATAATCTGTGGTTAGGCCTACCCAAAGGGTCCAAAGTAGGCCTTTTTTGGGGTTCATATATAGAGTCCTTATAAGGTAATCAGGTAATCCCAAAAAGGAACTACTTTGGGGCCTATGGGTAAAGCAGGGACAGAAAATCGATCCGGCGAGCCTCAAGATCTCTCAGAGGACGACATCAAAGATATAGGATGCCAAGCCAAACCGGAGGGAGAAGCACAAGAAGGTGCTCCCCAACTGCAGCATCAGCAGACGGAGGCATAAGACATCTTCGCGGCACGGTCCCATGACCTCAGGACAAAGAACTGTCCCGGTACCATCTCGTAGAAACTCGCAATTAGACCAAGAACAGCACCCACGTGCTTCATTCAAGGTATACAGGGCAGCTCCGTACGAAGCCGGAGGCCTGCCTGAAATCAGACACAACACCAAGTCAAGACAATCTGACTCTGATCCCTGGAATACCGCAACACGCCACCGTGTGCCTCGCTTAAATTGAGGGGAACGCAGAAGGGGGCAACGGTCTGTCAGGCAAAGGTTGACCCTTCGACGAAGTTCGTTTTTTCAAAAACCCTTCGGCGAACTTCTGCGAACGTTTTGGGGGTTCGTGAGGGGTTCGTGGGTTGTTCGGTTACAAGATAAAGTTCTGATATGTTGTTAAAATTCCCAAGTATATTAAAAGCTTCAATAAGAATTTACGACACTACACCCCGGATAGTCTGTGAAGTTTATATGTCAGCGAGATGAAATGATGATGATTTGCCACGCCTTTTTCTCTGCATCTTGCAGGGATTTCCTGCGAATGTCTTTCCAAAAATACGGAGTTTCTTGCGTTACTCTGGCTCATTAGCAAAAATTCTTGCCAGGGCCCGACAGTCGTTCAGTGCAGGTCCAGGAAGTGCAGAATCCTGGCGGGCGGGAGTGTAAAATCACAAATGAGGTGCGTCAAAAGGCTTGTTGCTCTGGCAACCCGTTTTCTCTCTTGCGACTTCTGCGGCCAGTGACTAAGGCAGCGTTTTATCGCAAACGGCCCGGCAAGGCGGTTGATCGCCAAAACTTGCCAGGTTCAGCGGCCGAGGACTCGATTAAAATTTCTTGCCTTCAGAAACAGCGGCAGCGGAATTCGGCAGAGTCAGGCCGGGGCGCTCTTGAAATACTTCCCTGCTCTCTGACCTACAGTCTCGGAAGACTCAGAAGCAGGGGTAACCCGAGAACACAAAAGCATGTGACACCAACTTTCAGCGATGCATTTTTTATGTTAAAAATAATAATGCTTCTTCTGTGTTCTTGCCCCTGAAACAATCTCAGTCAAGCTTACTTTGGCGATCCTCGCCCTCCTGATGCTGGCGACTTGATCGAGCTGACGGGCGATCCGGCGAGGGTCTTCGGACTCTTGCTAGGCGACGACTTGGAATTGATCTTGCGCTTCGGCGTCCGCGGGGGAGTGTTCTTGCCGTTCCCAGCTGCCGGTTGAAGCGCAGTCTCCGATTTCGCCTGCCACGATTTCGTCTTCTTGCCATCACCAGAACCGGCTTCGGGGGAGGAACCCGTCGGGCACTCCTTCAGAAAGAACGGGCTCTCGGGCAAGGTCTTGCCCTCGTTGATGTCGGAATTCAGGATCTTGCACACCGAGATGTCCACCAACCCAGCACCTGACGGAATTGCTATGCAACGAACAACTGAGTTGGAAGAAGTGGTTTCAACATGTTCTGAATAGACGAGAGAACTAGAGAAGCGCGTGCTTAGATAACTTGATCTGAAAGATTCGCACATTGCAGCTGAGAAACTCAAGGATGTGTTGAAGTTTCTTGCGCACATGACCTTGATGTTGTCGATGTTCTGCATCTCCGGCGGAAGCTTAAACATCAAGTCGGTCTGCATGTACCGCAACTGACTCTTGCCGTCGTCCTGCTTCTCCAGCCTCCAGTAGCTGCAGGAGGGATCGTCACAGAACTCCTTGAGAACGCGGACTCTTGGGCTTGGGTGAATTTAAGGCCAACCGATCCGACAAACAAGGCAACGGTTAAACCGAATTCATTCAACTTGAATTTTCACTGACTTGGACTCACGACCCCAGCCGCATGTTGGGCCTAAGAGGCTGAGCAATGAACAGGCGGCGGAAAATCACGATGTTGCCGCAGGATGCCTTACTTAGGCGGGTTAAACGAGTAGGTCCTGGAAGGTCGTCTCTGGCCCCCGTGGCTCCCAGGTTTCTAGCCGGCTGCCGTAGTCTGTGAAGCGCTTCATCATGAAGTCCTCAAGCGCGACCATGCTCTTGCTCGGCAACGCGCTGTTGACGTCGCAGTGAGTGATGAACCTACGGCGAGTGAGGTGTTTTGCACTTTTCTTGCTTCGGCAGAGGCAAAGAAGATTTGAATGAAAGATTGTTTTACATGTACTACTGATTCACAGCCAAGCTACGCGAGCAGGGTCGCCAGGAAAGCACGCTCTATCTTGCATCTGAAGTTCTTCTGCTGTTTGTCCAAGAACGACATCACTTTGGGAATCATCTTGCAAAGCAGCGGTCGCGTTTGCTCTTGCCCAAGCAATCGGAACTTGTTCATGTAGGGCTTCAGCTT